TGGGCCCCTCATTACAAGAGGGATATAGCGAGGTTGGAATCAGTGCAGCGAAGGGCCACTAGGATGGTTGCTGGTTTGCAGGGTAAGCCATGGGAGGAGAGACTGAGGGAACTGGGTCTTTTCAGCCTTGAGAGGAGGAGACTCAGAGGGGATCTGTTAGTGACATACCTGGGCAGTTGATGTGTTCCAGGGCAGGATGCATTCCAATGTAGCAAAGCCCAGGAAACCAAGATTTAGGGTGGATGTCAGGAAGCACTTCCTGATGTTTAGCAATTAAAAATAGCAATTAAACCTTAAAATGTTGGGAAAATAAAAAGGTTTTAGCCTGGTGCCAAAAAGAATAAAGTGTCAGTGCCAGGCGAACCTCTCTGGGGAGCATGTTCTGTAACGGGTGCCACCACAGAGAAAGCCCTTCTCTGGGTAGCCCCTCTCCTAATCTCCTCCAAAGAGGGCTCCCAAAGAAGGACCTCCAACCCAGATCTTAGGGGGCAGGCAGGCACATAGGGAAGGAGATGCTCCTTCAGATATGCAGTCCCTAAACCATTTAACTGCCACTGAATGTCCTCAAAAGAACCATTGCCAAATTTTGAGAACCATTTCCCAGCCCCATTTATTTCAGCCCCTTTCTGCCTTCCAGCATCTGGCCAACGTTTGGATTTGGGAGATGCTGCAATCTGATTGAGAGTTAATCAGTGAGCCAAGAACGTTTCGAGCTGCAAAAATAGATTTTCTAAGCTGTCTGGGTGGTTCATGACATGGCAAAATATAATTTTAAAACTTTTAATGCAGCAAAATTTAAAACAGATTGGAACAGCTATTATCAACAGGATGCCCAGAACTTGGTAAAGAAGAAAACACCTTAACATTGGAAGCCTTATCAAGTGCCCAAGAGCAAAATCGTAACCCACTGCTGAAAGGCTGACAATATTGGTGCTGGAAGGGTCTCGCTGGGCAGAGCATTTCACAGTGAGGTGGCCACCACCAAAAAGGTCCTCCCCCTTCTCAACATCTCCTCAACTTCCCTGTGGAGCAGCTGCTCAGAGAGAGCCTCTCAGATCCCGCTTAACGACGTGTCTTTCCTGATGCTCTTATGTGGATTTTCCTGGCTATTTTCAGGTTCTAATCCACCCAGGACCCCTGAATTTCCCTGAAGCAGAATGGCCTCTGGACGTTGAACCCAAAGAGCTCTACAGAGAGCCCAAGCAAGAGGAGGAGGATGCTGAAGAAGCCGGCACTGTGGGTGAGGATTCCTTCGTGCTTGAGCTTGAGGGTGAATCGTAGGGCTGCGAGGGGCCAAGAAGCCCCTCAGGTCTGACCCCCAGCTCAGTGCAGGACTCCCAGTCGAACCAACTCTCTCGGAGGGCTTTCCAGCTGCCTCTGGAAGGCCTCCCATGTGAGCGAGCCCCCAACTTCCCCCAGAGTGTACTGCCCTAACACGCAGGAATTTTTTCCCGATCTCTAGCCAGAATCTGGTTCCTGTAACTTGAGCTCATTATTCCGTGTCCTGCACTGTGAGATGATCGAGAAGCGATCCTGGCCTTTCTCTTTGTGACAGCCTGTTCTGCTCATAGGACTTCGTTTCCAGTCCCCAAATCATCCTTGTTGCCCTCCTCTGACTCCGTTCCAGCCGACCTGCATCCTTCTTGAAGCACAGTGCCCAGAAGGGGACACAGTCCTCCCGACGAGGCCTAACCTGCGCTGAGTAGAGGGGAGCCAGGACTTCACGGGACTTGGAAGTGATCCTTCTATTAATGCAGTATTTGCCCTTTTTGCAGCCGCATCACATTGTTGACTCATATTCAGCTTGTGATCAGGCACCGTTCCAAAATCCTTCTCACTTACAGGATTGTTGAGCCAGGAATTCCCCACCTTGTACAGATGCATCTGGTTTCTTTTTCCTAGAACTTGGCATTTGTCCCTACTGAATTTTCATACTGTTGTTTTCAGCCCTGCACACCATTCTGTCAGGATCACCTTGAATCTTCTTTCTGTTTTTCAGGGTATTAGCTCTGCCACTGCAAATCTGATCCTTGTTCCCTGGACTTCCTCATGCAACTCATTAATAAAAATGTTGAAGAACCTGCTTACTCACAGCAGTGGTGCTGAGGAGGAGTGTGAAGACTCCCAGGCCTCTGGGTGTAGATCTGTTGTGACGAAGGAGGGAGGGCGAGATCCCACCCAACCTCCCTGCAGGGTAGACAAGGGCTTAATAAACAAGCAGGCCGCTACCACCCCTTGGTAGCCCACTGTGCCGTAAAGAAGGAGAACCTTGAGCCTAGTGGGCATGTCAGACTTCGACCTCCTCAGTCAGTCACCATGCTCACTGGGCAGACACCTTTTCTGGGCCGCCTTGGTTCTTGGTTTGAGGTGGATCTTTTTCTCATGATCACGAGAGCACTCAGCTTTGCTCTGTTCTGCTCCATGCGACAAAATCTCCTGGCAAGATCTGGGTTGCTTTTTCTGTCTCCCACACGCTTGTTTTCACCTTCCGCTCTGCAGCTCGCCAGCCCTGTTCTTGCAGGTCTTCTCCTGGCGGAGAGCTCCTGTATTCTCTTCACCACACCGGCTGCCTTACAGCAGACGAGGGGCTGGTCTTGTGACCCCCCCACCATCTCTGAAGTGTCCTCCTGTAGCCCAGATCACAGCAGCCAGCTGGCCATCGGAGCAAGCCACAAGCCGACCCCAAAGAGCCCCGAGTGAAAGCAAGGAGCGGCTGCAAAGAGAGAGACAGGCTGTTTGAGAAGAAGAGGCAGGGTAGGCCTCACTGAGCTGGCGGTGGCCCTCAGACCTTGGCAGGAACATGACCAGAGCGGGCTGTAGCCTCTGCGACTCCTCCTCCTCCTCACCGGCATTGCTGTGAGCAAGCAGGTTGCGATGGTGAAGAGGGGTAGGGATAAGCAGTTTCTAGCGTGCTGGTTGGTGCCCTTGGTCACAGCCTTAAGCTGGAGTACGGGAAGAGGTGGCAGACACAACCGAACTAGGCCTTCCAGGGTGCGATGCAATGTCCAAGTTGCACAACAGGAGGAATGCCACAATTGCTAGCAGTGTGAGGACTAAATTCAATTTCTGGAGGGAGCAAAGGGGCTGCATGCTGGGTGGACCTGTATGCAAAGGGGGACTAGCGAACAGATGAACTGATGACAAAAAATGCTAATGTGTATTGAGCTAAAGCTAGAGATTTCATGCTTGCAGAATCTTACAAAGCCAAGAGAGCATCAGATAATCAGCAGCCAGGGGAAAGTGGGTGGACTCAGGAGAAATGGACATGGTGGAAAGCCCCAGTTTGGGACATCAGGTGTGCAAGATTTGGCCCATAGGCAGGAGATGCTGCACCCCTACGGTAAGAAAGGCTGGGAGAAAGAAACGCACTGTGGCCAGGTTCAGACAACCCACATTAAGAGGTGGTTGCTTGCCATTGAACTGTGGGTTGTTGCTGAAATGCAGGTTGTCATGTTGTGTAAAGCTAGCCAAGATAACACACCATGGTGATTGCCCCTTAGTTACAGCCCACCAACAAACCATGAGTTCTTTGAATGGATCATTTGTGGTTAACAGGCCATGAGTTACTAGAGAAGTTGGGTCCTGAAAAGATATCCCATGCAACCCACACCCAGCCAACTCAACTCAAGCTTCCACATAGCCTGAAGCTCCTGATCTTGCCTAATCTTGGAAGCTAAGTAGAGTCAGGCCTGGTTAGAATCTGGATGGGTGACTTGAGCGTATGATTCTATCTTCTTGGAGAGTCTTTGGACTAGTATAGCAGAATATAAACAAACAAATATGATTGTTGTTGTAAACCACCCAGAAAGCTTCAGCTGCTGGTGGTATAGAAATGTTGATGGTGCTGGTGCTGGTGCTGGTGATGATGATATCTGCACCCAGGTAATGATCTGTTCACATGTCTTGGCAGGCTTTGACTTAATTCACCTGCGGGGCTCTGTAATGCGTGCTGGACATCAGTTCACATAGTCAAGCCACAGATGATGATGATGATGATGATGATGATGATGATGATGATAACATTTCTATGCTGCCCTTGCCGAAGCCTCGGGGCGGCTTACAACACAATAAGATACATTGAAATACAATAGAACATAATAAATTACCATTAAATACAAAAATACAAAAAATACACTGAGTTACAAACATAATAATATAAAATTAAAATTATCAGTATAAAATAAGTAAATAAATAATATAGGAGGAGAAAAGAGAAGGAAGAAGAAGTTGCCCTGGCCAGGTCATATATTTTAACAATTAAATCCGTTTCCAGAGTTAAACAACACACACGGGGCTCCATGTGGAGGCATTTTTTTGCTTGCGCATCATCTTTGAAAGTTGCCCTAATGTCAGGTTTGCCTGTTTCCAGCAGATGCTGAATGGACTCATGGCAATGAGGACAAGGAGGAGGAGAAACCATATCTGGAATTTCTGGAGCAAGTACAACCCCAGGTGTTGTCCACAGGAAGAATTTCTTGGTGTCGGGAGAATGGAGGAATTTCTTCACATCAGCCTGAGATAGAACAGCAGAACCATTCTGAAAACCAAGAGGGTAGACCTATTTTCCCTTTGGGAGGTGGCAAGGACTTCGATGACATAGAAGGGAAAAGGATCTTTAAGAGCAATGGGCAAAATTCAGGTGTGGTAGATGAGAAGACCTTTAGTCAGAGTGTGGGCCTTATTTCTTATCAGAGAATCCACACAGAAGAAAAGCTGCATAAATGTTTGGTGTGTGCAGAAATGTTCACTTTGAAATCTAACCTTGTAGCCCATGAGAGGGTGCATATGGAAGAGAAGCTGTATTCCTGTTTGCAGTGCGGGGAAAGTTTTGGCACGTGCTTAGACTTCACTCAGCATTCAAGAACCCATTCAACGGAGAAACCTTACAAATGTTCAGAATGTGGAAAATGTTTCCGCCACACCTCCTCTTTCACCAGTCACCTGAAGAGTCATGCAGGGGAAAAGCTGTTCAAATGTGTATGGTGTGGGAAAAATTTCAGCACCCGGTCAGACCTGATTAGGCATGAGAGGTCCCACACAAAGAAACCTTACAAATGCCCAGATTGTGGGAAAAGCTTCTGCCAGAGCTCACAGCTTATAACTCACCAGAGCATTCACACAGGAGAGAAACCTCATCAATGCCTTGAGTGTGGGAAAATGTTCAGTAGGAGCTCGCACCTTAATGGACATCAGAGAATTCATTCCAGCGAGAAACTATATAAATGTTCTGATTGTGAAAAAACTTTTAGTGGGAGGTCCCATCTCTATAGGCACCAGAGAATCCACACAGGAGAGAAGCTGTTTAAGTGTTCTGTGTGTGGGAAATGCTTCTGTATGAATTCAGACCTCACTGCACATGAAAGAATTCACACAGGTCACAAACCCTACAAATGTCCGGACTGTGGGAAAAGCTTTAGTCAGAAGCAGCATCTGACAAGCCACCAGAGAACCCACACAGGAGAAAAGCCATATGTTTGTTCGCACTGTGGCAAAGGCTTCAGTGTGAGCTCCAACCTCAATACACATGAACGCACCCACACAGGTGTGAGGCCCTTCCAGTGTTCTGACTGTGGGAAAAGTTTTAGTCAGAAATCACACCTCATTGGCCACCAGAGAATCCATACAGGGGAAAGGCCGTATTTGTGTGTGGACTGTGGGAAAAGTTTTGGTTCAAGTTCAAATCTTATGGCACACATGAGAACCCACAATGGGGAGAAACCATAGGAGAGTTCCCAATAAAATTGGAAAGAAAAACTTAGTAAAAAGAACAACATCAATCTAAACTGTCCCTCCTCCATTTACGTTTATTTGCCATGGTTCAGATTTAGATCCTGTGAATGCTAAAGAATTAGCATTTTAGAGTTTTAGAAAGAAAAGAGTAAGATGTAACATGTTACTTGTTTGGCATGTTGGTATGTCATTGTTGCTGCTGGTGTTAAGGCAATAAAGTTTATGAAAGATGTGATCCTCTCCATACTCCTTGGTTCCTGTTCTGGGCCTTCCTGTAGAACAGCAAACTGATGGGCATTATCTTTGTATGGCGTAAGGATAGGGAACTGCCATCTCATCCAACTCCCACTCAAGAAGTTCTCCTGACCTTTTGCAGAGGTTCATAGAATCACAGAATAGCAGAGTTGGAAGGGGCCATGAAGGCCACCGGGTCCAACCCCCTGCTGCTGCAGGACACCAGGTTACACCATCCCACTCAGGTGGCTGTTCGGTCCAGTTTCCCCTTGAATGTCTCCAGTGTGAGAGAGTCCACCACCTCTGTAGGCAGCTGGTTCCACCATGTATTGCTCTGACAGTGAGGAAGCTTTTCTTGATGTTCAGCCTAAGCCTGGGTTGTTGCAACTTGAATTGATTCTGCATGCTACACTCTGGTATCAGCGAGGAGAGATCTTGACCTTCCTCTTGGTGACAGCCTTTGAGGTACTTATAGAGGGATACCATGCCCCCCCACCCCAGTCTTCTCTTCTCAAGGCTTAACATTCATTTATTAAAAGCTTTTATATACCATCCACTACAAGCATCTCATACCCATTTCTCCCAGTCTCTCCTCATAGGGCAGAGTTTCCAAGCCCTGGATCATTTTTGTTGCCCTCCTCTGGACCTTTTCTAATCTTTCTGCATCTTTCTTAAATCTTGGTGGCCAGAACTGGACACAGTATTCCAGATGGGGTCTGACTAGTGAAGAGTATAGGGGAACTACTACTTCTCGTGATTTGAGAGTAATACTTCTGTTAATGCATCCCAAAATGGCATTTGCCCTTTTGGCGGCTGCATCACATTGTAGGCTCATGTTTAGCCCATTGTCCACAACTACTCTATGTTTCTTTTTCAGTTCTGTTGAGCCATGTATTCCCCATCATGTATAGAAACATAGAAACAGAGCAGGTCAGAAGGGGCCTCCCAGGCCATCTAGTCTGACCCCCAGCTCCAGCCAGCTCCTCTCATGACATGTTCTGCCTCTTCTCTCTCCAGCTGGGATCTTCCAAGAAAAAGAGCCCTTCTCCAGCATGTTGCATGGAACCCCCGTTTGTCTCTGGTCACTGATCAGCCAGAACAGCAATGTAAGGCATTTAAACTATAATGACTCTATTAGGCTTTTGAAGCGCAAATGCTACTCAGTTTTAGAACTGGGCTGTCCTTTGTGTGCCTGAAGGCTGTTGCCTGGAGCCTGTTCCTGAGGGGGGGGGGCATGCTGGTCTTTGGAGGGCCTTGAACTCCCCGCACTATTCAATGAACCCATCCTTCACTGCGTCCCACTTCTTCCTAGCACTCCAAGCAGCTGCTCTTGCTCTTCCTCATCATGGCGACCCCTTGCTTGCTTGACAGGGGGAGAGCCAGGGAGCGAGGAGGCGGGGGCATCTGCTGCCCCTCTTCCTCATCAGCATTTTGTCTGGGCCAGAGCAAGAAACACACCCGTTGCCATGGGAACAAGGAGGTGCAACTCCAGGGGGGCTTCTGTCAATGGAGGCCTGCCAAGGCATGGACCCTCAGCAGATGCTGGCCATACCAACCAGGATGATAGCCTCACTCCTCCCCAGAGACACACCACAGTTATGACCATTCTCCTGGCATCAGGAGTACTGAGCCTCAGTGGAGCTGGCTGCTCAGTAAATGCCGGACTCTTGACGAGGGGCAGGAGATGTTGCCCATTTTTGTCTTCTGCTCCACCCACTTCTGCAATTCAGCCGCAAAAGCTTTTCCAAAGTGCAGGTTGAAAAAGCTGCATCAAACCTGCACCACGGTCTAGTTTTGGTCTTGATGTCTTGGAACTGTTGGGAAATTCAAATAAATGTTTGTAGGAAAAGGTTGCTTATATGTACCTTTGTTATAAGATCAAACCTGCGGTATCCCTGAGCCTCTGTCTCAGAAAGTAGCGCTCCCGAGATGCCTCCGCAAGGAAGTTGATCCCTGCCTATTCTTTTGCTAACAGCAGCAACAGCTGATAAAGCTGCCAGGTTAGTTTTCTAACACCATTGCAATCACCCTCATTTGCATGCCAAGACCCACAATAATCCCTGCCTTCCTGATTTATTATGCCAATATTCTGTATTCACCAGTGCTATGAAGTCCCCTCTGCAGATCCCTCCCATTCTTTTGACTGTGTTCCCCTTATTTCCTCATCACCTGCCCTGCTGATGCGTACATGTGACCCAGAACCTATGAAACACTCTGCATTTGCTCTAAAAGCTTACAGTTGGTCTCAGCCTCTGCCTGGGAGCATCCAGTCATTAGTTTACTGCAGGGGGCTGGCCCAACATCATATCTGATGAGCATCACAATATACCATCAGCGTTTAGTCATCCTTTATATCAATATTTGCAGATTCAGAAATAATTGCTTGGATTTATTTATAGTCCACAACAGGCAAAGCTGGCCAGCTCATTTCTCTTTCCAGTTCACTTTTGACAAAATAAACCCTTTAATTAGCATGCAACCTGTCACAGATCACCTCAAATCAATAGTCTTTTTTCAGTTCCAATGAATTTCTTCTCTCCCTCTTGGAGAAAAATGGCAGCCACCATTGGCTCCACCAAAAGGTGGATTTTTCCCTAAATGCAAAAAAAAAAGGGGGGGGGAGACTGGAGGTGATCCAGCATGTGGGAAAGGTTAGGATTTGGATTAGGATTCTCTCCCACTGCATTCCCCCTTGAAAATCACCCCCTGCCATGAGTCCAAGCTGTACCCCTCCAGCCCAGGCCTAGCAACAGCTCCAACCCCATTGACAGCTTTTAAAAAGCGATGTGTTTTTAAGCTTTCTTTTTTTAGAAAAATCAGCTCTTACAATGATTGTAGGCTGAGGAAACAGCACTGGATTCAGCTCCCTCTCTGGTTTGGGGCCCAGACTTGACAGTTGTCTGGGAATATCTCACAAAGGGAACACAGATGTGTGTCAGCCACTCACAAAAGCAAACAAACAAACACAAAAAAGGTACCAGGTTCACACCAACCAAAAAGCCACCTGTTCTGACCAGTAAACCAATACCTTCAACAGCCTTGGATGCTTAGGAAAGGGCTTTGGGTCTTCACATTGTGCTTCTTCTCTAATATATTCTGAGGTCAAGCAATGAAAAATAGGTTCTGGGGCTCTGCCACCACCCAAGGCCAAGCTCACCACTTCAAAATCGTAGCTGTCATACTGATGGTGACCTGCAGGTTCTTGGTAAAAAACAAAACAGACACTGAATCTGCTAAAATGTCAGGACATGACAAGGAAGAATTTTTCTTAAAAGGAAAAGAAATAAGGAAGCATTTCAGTGTAAGCTGGCAAAAACGGAACCAATTAGCAACAAAGACTTCAGAAAGACTTTTCTGACTTCGGTAGATGTTAAAAGTGAGGCCTTTTAGAGATCGTTAAAGAAACATAGAAAAGAACAAGCTGCATTTTCGACTTGGAGGGATGACTCCAAACGTGTTGACACCCTGAATAAAAAAAGAGCGCGCACGACTCCTCAAACGGCAAGCGACCCGTGCACAAGGGGCGGTCAGGGACCGAAGTTTTGAGGCCTCCTCCTGCTGCGGGCCCTGGGGGTCAAAGGCCTCCTGGGAACGCCCAGGTGAGAAGAGGAAGGGCCTGCAGGCCGGTGGTTCGCCTGCCCGATCCGCGGAGGCCGCGCATGCCGAGAGGGGGCCGGAGAGAGGGCCGCCGGGGCAGAGGCCTGCTGCCGAATCAGCAGCTCCAACAGTTCTGTCTGGCGGTGCATGATGGCGATGATTTGCCCGGTCCCCACGCGGTCTTTCTCGCGCTCTTCCAGGTCCGTCTTGGCGTAACTCTCGAGGGCAGACAGGATCCTGTCCGTAGCTGTCTGAACCCTCAGGTCTGCCGCTCTTGCCAGTTCCAGGGCCAGATTGTTCCGGGTCTTTTTGTGCCGATTCCGGAGGTTGGCGAGACGTTCGGCGGCCGAGAGGCCCATCGGGCCAGGCAACGGACTGTGCGAAGGGCTTACATGCACATCTGAAAGCGAACCAGTGTGGGGAGAGAAAGAAGAACGAGGGAACTGAGACACTGCGAGGGATTCCCACCAAAACGTTAATCCTATAGGGATGAACTAAACTTTTCCATACTCGGGGCGGGTAACGTCCTTCAGGCCAAGGGTCAAATTGAGGGGGCTGCACTGCATTGGGAGGAAGGGCCAAAGGCAAAAGGGGTGGAATCAAATTACCAAAGAAATAACTCTGAGCTTTTATTTCCACAAAAGGCCTTTTATTCCACTATTAGGCCTTAAGAAAGGAATTCCAAGCTCTGAGAATGGGGGGAAAGAGTTGGGAGTTTATCAAACCACTAGCGGTTTGAGGGGTAGGTGGGGCCAAGGGAAGGGGGGGTGGCCACCTGGAAGGCCCAGACCCTAAAAAGAGCCCTACTGGATCAGGTCACAGGTCCATCTGATCCAGCATGCTGTTCTCACAGCGGCCAACCAGGTGCCCCCAAGCAGGGCTGGAAAGCAATGGCACCCATGTTCCCCAGCAGCATGCCTTTGATCATGGAGGTGGGACTCAGCCATTAGAACAAGTAGCTTTTGATAGCCCCCCCTCCTCCGTTATTCCCCCCACTTCCCTTTTAAGGGTGTTAGATCTGGCATGAAACAGGCCAAAGGGATTGAAAAAAAGCAAACCAGCAACATTTTTTAAGAACATGGCAGGCAAGGCTGTAAACATATTATTACACGTTTAGATGGAATGCCTTGGACCTTTGCAGTACTTAGTTAGAACAGTGCTTTCCTCGTTCACCTCATCCTCTGCCTTCCCCCCTTTCTGGAACAAGCTCCCCACTGAGGCCCGCCTGGAGCCAACCTTACTATCTTTTCAGCACCATGGCAAGACCTTCCTCTACCATGGGCCATTTAATGAATTTATTCGGGGTTTGTCAGATGCTTAAACAGGTCCAATCAGGCTGTATCTTGTTTAAGCTACTGGAATTGTATATGCATGTTAAATGTGGGTTGAAATTTCTCTACGGCAACTTCTTCCATTTTTATAATGTGGAGTATTTTAATGGATTGTTGTAAACCTCCCAGAGAGCGTCAGCCGTTAGGTGGTATAGGAGTCAAGTAAATAAATAAACTCTGCAATATTTAATTCAGATCTGAATAAGTGCAGCATGAAGGGCAAGAAGAGGAGTACAAGCCCTTTGTGTAAGGGGAGATACCCCGGGAAGTCACAGCCTCCTGGAACAGTAAAGTTGGAGGGACCACTAAGGTCATCAAGCCCAACCCCCTGCTCAGTGCAGGAAAGCATCCACCTGCATCATTTCGTTAGCACAAATGACACATTGCACCAGCAGAAACCAGATTCTCAACCATGTGCAAGAGGAGAACACAGGGAAAGTTCTCTTTCTGCAAGGAGTTTTGCCAATGCACAGAAAGTCACTCAGGGCACTTCTCCTAGTGCTTTTGGGGATTGTGGAATGACGCCACTGCATGCTGCTCAGGAGACAGAGAGTAGCTAAGCAAGAAAAAGAGAGGTTTAATCCCATCCAGGGTAGGATTCATCCCTTTACCTGCTGTGGATCCGGTGGGGGCTGGACTACCGGGGATGCTGGAAGGGGCTGATGGCAGGTTGCTAGGAAGACAGTCAGCTTCTTAAAAAAAAGGCCCAAGAGAAATGCATTCATTTATGAGTATATCAGGGCTGACAAAATCTTTTTCAGCCCAAGGGCTGAGTTCTATTTCAGAGAAACTCTTGAAGGTTGCCCAACAGCAGTGGGAAGGACCACAGGGGGAGAGGGTCGGTATGACCCCCCACCCCAAATCCCATGGTTACTGGTTTATATTGGAAGCATTCCTGCCGAGAGGTACGTGTGGACACAGGTCCTGCCTCTACACGTCTGCAGGGCAGGGACTTGCCCAGTGGGGCATTCTGGGAACAGCCCGATCCAACTTTCTGCAGGCCTGATAAGGGGGAAACCTGCAAATGAGGCTTGGGGTGAAACTCGCCGAGCTTCCTCTGCAGCTCAGCTCAGTCTCAGAAAGCGAGCCGAGTTGAAAGGAAGCCTGTGGAAAAAAGGGTGTACAACCAGCAACCAGCACAAGGCGGGTGCCGTGCGTGCAGTGGTTCTGTGAGACTCAATTCCTGCTGTGCGAACACCGGGCCCTCACTCCATGATCTTGGGCTCACAGTGTGACAAAGAGGGCCTGAATCCAGGGAGCCAAACCTGGGGAATCCAGTGGATTCCCCACACAGCCTTCATGAAAATTGCATCTGCTCACAAGGATGTAGCACTGAACCTTCTGCAGCTTCCTTCCCTGGCCTGGCCCATCTTTCACGGAGGGAAAAAGCTCTCATCTACATTCAGCAGCTGTCAAACGGGTACATGAATGGCACCTCCAGCCAGAGACGGAGCAGGTCATGGTTGGCACCAAGGGGAGGCATGCTCAGGAACAAGCTCAGGCCCCGAGATGCACCCCCCACTGTGCCTCCCTAGAAGACAGTAGTGGTGAGATAAATTTGTTGGTTGGTTTATTAGATTTATATCCCGCCTTTTCCTTTCTTAAAGCCCTCCAAGTGGCTTACAAAGCATCAGCTTCCTTCTCTCAATCTTATCCCCACAACAGAAATTTAATAAACAAACAAACAACAACCCTGTGAGGTAGGTTAGGTGGAGAGGAATTTCCCAGAAGTTTCTAGCTCTGCCTTTGGCCAGCACGTTGGCTCACTCAGGCTGGGCCCCAGTTGAACAAAGGTTGCCGGCCCACAGCCCGTGCCCCCTGGCTGACCCACAAACTCAAGCCTTTCTCTGCAAACCAATTAAATTCTCTCTTTACAAGGGGAGAATGAAAAATGGGCCCTCTCTGGAACCACACCAACGGGGTACCTACGCACAGCCAGCCGAGGGATGCCCATCGGTGCCTCAGAAGTCCTCTCCATCTTGAACCGTGTGGAAGGACAATCTGCCGAATCCATGAGTTCAGTGGAAAACTGAGCAGCCAGGTCAGAGAGGTGCTGGGGCTTGAGGTAGCCCCCTGAATCTTTGCGGAGGCCCCTATCCTCTGAGGCCCCCACTGAAGCATCAGGTCCTTCTGTCTCCTCCTGGAGCACGAAATTTGGCATCCTCCCAGGGTGGCGGGACATGCCAGAATCCAAAATGCGATCCAACTGGTCATAAAAGGGGCACGTGACATTGCGCTTCCCAATGGAGTGGCTCTCTTTCACCTTCTTGTAATCCCGCCGCATCGTTTTCGTCTTGGTACGACATTCCTGCGCCGTCCGCTCGTGCCCTCTCTTGCCCATCTCGTTCGCGATGACCTGGAAGGTGTCCATGTTCCGGTGGCTACTCTGAAGCACCTGCTGAATTCTTTGCTCCCCCCAGATATCCAAGAGGTCGACGACTTCGGCATATGACCAGTTGGTGCCACGGCGGTTCGTCTTCCGGAAATTGTGCATCGGAGTGATGGAACTATCTGTTTCCAAGAAGAAAGGAAGGGGTATGTGTGTGTGGGGAAGCCCTTTAACTAAACTAACTGGGGAGCTGAACACTTTCCAGCCCATTAGGCCAAATTCGATTTCAAAGAAGCTCTTACGAGCCATATTTCAGCACTTGCTGACAAGTGTGAGGCTAAAATATTAAAAAAGCCAGCATATTTTAGCCTAACAGCTAGAAACTACGAAGCAGCATTTTCTCCTTTTAGGATGGGGAAAAACATGCCAAAGTTGGAAAACATCAGCCACAGGGGAAAAGTGGACATGACTGTCTGGATAATTGAATTTGTGAGGTTCTACATCACAGTTCTAATAGTAAATCCTATTTAAAACCCCCCACTTGGGTTTGGTTTCACTTTTCCTCTGATTCTAATGTCTCTTTCTTTTCCAGTGCACGGAACTCTTCAAGGGGCTCTGAAGTCTGAAGAGCTGTTGATATAGTTATTTGAAATTATTTATATACCACTTCTTATAAAGCTTATCACACTGTAATTGGAACAAACCACATTGCAATAAAAACACGCTAAACTGAAGCCAGAGCACAGCCAAAATCAAAACACTTTCATAAAAAGCACTTTTATGAAGTGCTTTAGTGGCACTTAGAGGCACTTAGAAAGCACATGTAAAGTAGAATAATTAGGTTTTCAAATATCCGGAATATCATACCCCTCCCCAGACTTTTCTGGGAACACGCATCCCTGCAAAAGGAATGGATACCCAGGGGCCTTTGTAAAAGAAATATTCTAGGAATTTTCATAGTGGGGGAAATACACAACCATACTTTAGTTTAAAGCTCAAGCTGCTAGTAACTGAGCTTCAGGGGAGACATTACAACCTTATATGACAGAGAAAAGAAGTGCATCATAATGAGGAAATCAAAGGACAGGGGCTGAGCTAACCAAGTTTGCTCTTTCATAGAGCAGGAATGATGGTGTTGGAAGAGTAGGATAAGATTTGCCAAGACAGCTAGAATATGGAATCGGACAATTTTTCTGCCTTGTCTCGGGGTCAATCAAAAGCTTACCGAGTGAACCAACCTCCCTCTCCAGTCCTTGTCCAGGCTCCCTGTGGAGGTGGTGCCACCTGGCCAGCAGGGTGTGATCATCTTCTGGGGAATGGACATCCATCTCCTCAAACCCAACCGGCACCTGTAGACGATGAAAAGGGCCTGGTTCACACGTGCAGTAGAGTCTCTGATTTGCTATGATCTCTGCATCCTGCCTTTCTACCATGGCCTGGGTGGCAGCTCACCAGAGCCAGTGTCAAGGGAAGACTTGGCCGGGCTCTTGCTTGAGGGCCACACTGCAGGAGGGGCCCTCCTCTGTGCCACCACAACCTTCTTGCTCACACACATCTCGCTCAGATGCCGTGATCCCCTCATTTCTGGTCTGTGGCTCATCGAGCGAGCGAGTGGTAGCCATGTTGAGAAAGAGAACAAGGAGTCAGAGCAACTGGGGGCCAGGGTGGCAAGGAAGTACACCCCCTGTGGGACGAGACCCACTGAGGATGTCTTGATCAAAGCCCCTTGAAAACCTGGAGGGCGGTCTGCTCCAGAGCCATGGGGACCTCAGCAGGTGCTGCCCCGGGGCCTTTTCCTGCAATGGTGCATTGGGGACCCTGTCGTCCCAGAAGCCTGACAGAGCCCACTGCAGACATTAATTAATTTAATTAATTATTAAATCAATCATTAAAATTAACTATTAAAACTATTATTAAAATGAATTAACAAATCTATTACAACAAATTATTAAAATGAATTAATAAATTTAATTATTACAAATCAATTAATAAATTTAATTATTACAAACAAATTAATACATTATTACAAATGAATTCTGGCTGTAGGCAACACCCACCACTTCCTGAATTCACCTGCTGTTCTTGTCTCTTCCCTCCTCGTTGCCGCAGCACGAACTCCTCCAGTTGCTGGGGGTTCCCCCATCCCAAATGGGGGGACCAGACAAGCTTCAGGGGCTCCTGGCCGTGGGATCCCCAGGACTCGGGCACCTCCTCATCGGGCTCCTGTTTCACATGCTCTGGTGTGACCCATCCCAAAATGTCCGTCAAGCTCCCGGCCTGGATGAGCCGAGGACCTTTGGGCACTCTGTCCCCATCTTCTTGGTCGTCCTCCATTTTTATCTGTTGCTGCAGCCCATGATCCTGGGAGGCCTGTAACTGGATGTCAAGGTTGGTTTGCTTGACAGCCATTTCGTTCTAGGGCAGAGCTGGCCTAGCCTTTTGTTTGTGGAAATCTCTCCTTTGCTGCAAACATGGGGCAATGTCAGGTCTGCAGGTTCATCTTCCAGGGTCTTATGGGTAATGCTACCAATAATTCAGGATGTTCAGATAAGCAACTGTTGATCTCACACAAGAGTTTGTGTCCCTGTGGGAGAGACAGACACAGTAAGATGTAGGGAGAGAATGTTAGAAAAACATAACCACATCGGCCTTGCTCACAAGCAAAAATAACTAAGAATTAACAAATTTGGGGTTCTGGGGAATGAGGCAGTATCTCTTTCTTTCATTATTATACCATTTCTATACTCCCCAATGGTATAGTCAAGGCTGTGGTTTTCCCAGTTACAATGTATGGCTGTGAAAGCTGGACCATAGGGAAGGCTGAGCGCCGAAGGATTGAGGCCTTTGAATTGTGGTGCTGGAGGAGACTCCTGCGAGTCCCTTGGACTGCAAGGAAATCAAACCAGTCAGTCCTAGAGGAGATCAACCCTGACTGCTATTTCGAAGGCCAGATACTGAAGATGAAACTCAAATACTTTGGCCACCTAATGAGAAGGAAGGAAGGACTCTCTGGAGAAGAGCCTGATGCTGGGAACAATGGATGGCAAAAGAAGAAGGGGGCGGCAGAGGATGAGGTGGCTGGATGGAGTCACTGAAGCAGTCGGTGTGAGCGTGAGTGGAGTCCAGGGGAAGGTGGACAGGAGGGCCTGGAGGAGCGTTGTCCATGGGGTCGCGATGGGTTGGACATGACTTCGCGTCTAACAACAACAACAAAATTCAATATTAAAACTTGTTAAAATATTGATTAAATAATAAGGTCTTAACCTGGCGACGAAAAACATATAATGACGGCGCCAAAGAGGAGCGCATTCCACAGTTGGGGAGCCACCGCAGAGAAGGCCCTCCTCCGGGTACTCCGTCTCCTAGTATCTTTCACAGAGGGTTCTCGGAGGAGGGCTTCTGCTGCCGATCTCAGGGGGCGGGAGGGCAAACAGGGAGGGCCGGCGCCAACCCGTGAACGTGCGAACGGTGCGGAGAGAATCGCACGGAACAGCTGCGCAGCCTGGGTTGCGCAAGACCTGTCCCCCGCGCCATAGAAATGCACCCAAGAAAAGCCCCCACTCAGCGCACGAGCTGCTCCTTTTAGGAGCAAGGCAAGCCGAGAGCGACCACGGTCCGCTTCTCCGCTTGCTTCCGAGGAAGAGGAGGACGGGCAGGGGCGGAGGGGCGGCTCCGGCCGGGGGCACTGCTGACCGGCGCCTCTCGGCGACCTGCGCAGCGCCCTGCGCGCCCCCCGCTTGCACAGCTCACGCTGCTCCCCCCGGGAGAGGCGTCGGGGCAGCGCGGAGAAGGGCTTGCGCCCGCCTACCACGCCGGCTCCCCGCGGATGCGCGCAGGGGCGTCTCTTGCCCCGCTCCACCAGGAAGGCGCTGTCCCGCTGGGCCACTCACGCCGCCCAAGGGCTTCTTTCTTTCTCGGGCTCTCTAGGCGAGCGGGGCTCCGTGGATTTAACCCTGTAGAGCCTCCCCCGTGGGGAGAAGAGCCGCCGAGTCGACACGGGGCGCGTTGGGCCGCGGCTTTCGCAGCCCCGCGATGCGCGGAGCGGGCAAAGCCGGGCCAGGGCTTCTTCGCGCTGCGCACGATCACACCGGGGCGCGAGGCGCAGCGGGGGCCGTGGGTCTGGATGGCTTCGAAAGGGGACGGGAGAAGGGCGCCTATCGCTATTCCTCATCATGGCCACGCTCAATAAGCTGATGCACACCCGTTGCTGGGGAACGTGGGTGGAAAGGTCGTGTTGCACTCATGTGCTCCTTATGCGTTTTGCAGCAGCACCTCTCTGGCCGCCGAATGAACATGATGTGGGACCAGACAGACCTTTGCTCTGATGGAGCCCATTTCTTATTTTCTTCCTTACTGATTCTCTCTCTCTCTCTCAATCCCCGGGATTAGAGGCAGGATGCATACCAGTTGCTGGGGAGCATGGTGTGAACACAACGCCGGAGCAGCTGGCCTTTGCTCCGAAGCGGCAGGGGTCGTCTGTCCGCGGATGAGTGCAAACCCGACGCGCCATTCCCTCTTAACTCAGCCGCAGTAAGAAAGCGCTCTGCTTGCATTTGCAGGACACAAAACTCCACCCTGTAAATGAGCTGTGCGATGTGGAGCTGTTCTGGAGCAGCCCCTCTTGCGCCTGACAGCCAGTCCTTCCCCCTCACCCTTCCCAGTGGCAGAACCCATCATCCCTCCTCTAATTTAGGGGCTGTGGCAATCCGCCACTTCTGCCTCCCCCGCTCAAAGTGGCAGTCGGGGCAGCTCCTTCAAAGGCCCCAAGTACTAGGACTGAAGCAGCTGCCACTGGTTTGCTGCCCATGTTTAAAAAAATTAAAATGCCAGTACAGACTCGTAGCAAATATTTTATTTGGATTTCCAGAAGTACACAATTCTGATCGTCCCAAATGCACTGTCCTGATCTTTCTGTTTGTCCTGGATGGTGCCTCCTATCAAATTACAGGAGGCTCCATGGTTCCATCCATGGATTCTGACAAAGCAAGGCTTCAGGTAAATTAACAGGTTGCTTTGCTTCTCATTTGACAATGATAAAATGGTAAGCATCCCACAAAAAGCAAAGCTGTGAGATCTTTTCTAGTGAAAGAGAAAGGCTTGAGATAAAAAGCAGGATCCTCTTTTTCCTTGGATCTAAGTCCGCTTTGTGTCCTCCACATCTTTCCACCAAAATTTTCCCCAAATGCACTCAAAATGCTCAGGAAAGAAGAAAAGTGAACAACCTATTTCTGGCTGCACTGAATTTTGAGTTGTCAAAACTCCGTATTTGAAAGCAGTGTTTTCTTTTCTTTTTTTTTTTTGACAGAGACATATACAACCATGAAATTTACATGTCCTTGCCAAAAATCCCATTTTAAAAGCAAGTCTGAGTTAAAAGGAAGCCATTACATTTAGATACATTTCTGCATTTTTTTAAACTGTCAGGGGACTGCAGCAAAAAGGAAACATGAAAGTGGGAGAACAGTTAATATCTCCTCTTTTGTTGACGTTGGAGGGGATGGTGAAATAATGAACAACTGAAAGACGTGGACTGGCTTGTGCGATCAACAACTCACCATGGGTGACGAGCCACAGTGCATAGTTATGTTGTGCAAATCTGGACTGCTCCCCACAAGTTGGCTTGTTTGTGAGCCACAAGCTACCTCAAGAACCCATGACCTGTTCCAGGGGTTGCTGGGCCTCAGGTGGGTTGTCATGTTAGCAGCAGACACCCCCCCCCCCATGGGCTGTAGTGAACAGCAGATGACCCACAGGGCAAAAGCTGCATAAGCCCCTCGTTGCTTCGCTTGCCTGGGGCTTCCACCTGTAAGAGCTGCTCCACTGACATCCAAGCAGCACTTGCACTGGCCCTTATCCACCAGTGGCAAAAGGTCCAATTTGCCCCACAGGGTCAGCCACACACAGCGCTCGGTCCTGGATGCCTTGTGCTTCTCCATCTTCCCAGCAAGATGCTTCAGGTCTGTGACTCCATTCTGAGTCCAAGCTGCCTTGCCCCCGAACAGCAGACAGACAGAGCTAAAAAGACGGCCTTTTATTTTGCTGCCACACATCCAGACCTGTTGGTGTACCCATATGGGATGAACCACCATGGACACAGCTTTCCTCATTTGCAGACTGCTAGCCTGTCAGGACAGCTGTGTCTGGTACTGTTTTCTTGATTAGTAGCTGATCAGTTAAAGTCAGGCTGGAGTTCGCTTGTGCAGTGTTCATTGTAATCCTAAGTCACTCTGGAAAGAGGACAAAGTATTGTTTGGCTACATTCTCACAATCCTGAGAAAATTTGTTGTTTAGTCACAAATTCATGCCCAACCTATCAGGCCCCATGGATGACATTCCTCCAGGTTCTCCTGTCCTCCACCATCCCTTGGAGTCCACCCAAGCCCACACCCACTGCCCCAGTGACCCCATCTAGCCACCTAAACCTCTGCTGTTCCCTTCTCCTTTTGCCTTCAATTGTTCCCAGCATCAAGGTCTTCTCCAGGGAGTCCTTCCTTCCCATTAGTTGGCCAAATTATTTGAGTTTCATCTTCAGTATCTGGCCTTCTAAAGAGCAGTCAGGGTTGATCTCCTCTAGGACTGACCAGTTTGATCGCCTTGCGGTCCAAGGGACTCGCAGGAGTCTCCTCCAGCACCACTGTTCAAAGGCCTCAATTCTTCGGTGCTCAGCCTTCCTTATGGTCCAACTTTCACAGCCATACATTGCAACTGGGAAAACCATAGCTTTGACTATACAAACTTTTGTCAGCAGGGTGATGTCTCTGCTTTTTAGTATGCTGCCTAGATTGCTATAGCTTTCCTTCCAAGAAGCAAGTGTCTTTTAATTTCTTGGCTGAGAAAATAGTAAAGTGCAAAACTAGCACAAATTCTTCTTCTGTGAAAGAAACATGATGAAATACTACATTCAGCCGCAGTGCAGTTCTATACATACTTGCATGTATGGGACTACAAGGCATCTGCATGGAATGTTAGCCCACGGACGGAAAAATGCTATGCAGAAAGCAGAAAACCCTAATGTGGCAGCACAGATACAGAAACACTCTGCAAGACCATCAATTCATCAATGCCAGAAAAGTGTTCTAAACACTAACAACTAAGTTAAGAAATGGTTAAGGAACTGGGTCAGCAAACCCACTGATTTTACATGTGTGAAACAACCTAAAAGCAATTTTGCCCTGTAGAATTTGTCTTTGGTAAATGTGTCTGTGGACTGGCCCAATGGACAGGAAAACCTTAGTAAATATCTAAATAGGCCATGAGGACAGGAAACTGCCATACTATTATCTAAAGTGGCTGCATCAAAGGGAGCAATTTTGCCAATGCAAGAGAGCAAATGGTTCAAAAACCTCATTGGGTCAACACAAAGGAGTAATAGATTTTAAAATAATAATTAGAAACACAGAAGAGCACATCTTAATTTGGGCCACACAAAAGCAACGTATTTTTACTTTGACTTTCTATAGCCACCCTACAAATAAATTTAGTTCATTAATCAAGCAAGGGGACTGCAGGTGGCGCAGTGGTTTAAACCACTGTGCTGCTGTGCTGGTAGATCGAAAGGTTGCCGGTTCGAATGTGCACAATGGAGTGAGTTCCCGTTGCTCCATCCCAGCTCCTGCCCACCTTGCAGTTCGAAAGCATCCAAAGGCAGGTAGATAAAAAGGTACCACTTTGGTGGGCAGGTCATGCACTGCGGTGTTTAGTCATGCTGGCCACATGAACACATGGAGACTGTCTGCGGACAAACGCTGGCTCCCTCGGCCAGGAAACGGAGGTGAGCACCGCCCCCTAGAGTCGGGCATGACTGGACTTAATGTCAAGGGGAAACCTTTACCTTTACCTTAATCAAGCAAAGCAGTATGTCACAAATACATTAAATTTATGAACCAAATGACAGCTGTACCATGTGCAGATTTAAAGAAAGCATCATTCAGCAACAAGCACATGCAACAAGTAGCCTTGCATTACACACACAGCTGAACGGGGCAATTTTTTGTCACACACATCTAAGATGCCCAATTCCCTGTGCCTGAACTCTTTGTAACCTTGCTGAGGCCTCCACCCAAAGAGCAACTTTAACCAAAGAGCCAAGAGACCCCTCCAGTGGTCAACTTACAGACGAAGTGGGTAGACAGAGATTAACCGTTGTTTTGGTGTGCATGAATGAAGTCCTAGCGCGATAGGAAGTCTTTAGCTGAAATTGCATTGTTTGGAATTGCGCTACACAACGCTACACAACGCTTACTGGGAAGAGAGGGATAGGCGCTTGTCTGCCCGCCCTGCCTGCCCGCCCTTTATTAAG